GTTTGTAGTATATAAGCAAATCATTATTATTGGTTATTGTCCAGCAGTTATCTGATTTCTAAGCCAATTAAAAGCTAGAAATTAGAGAAAAATTAAAGTTGACTATAGGCTACACTACCAGTCAAAAGTTTTTGAACAGTAAGATTGTTCATGTTTTTTAAAGAAGTTTATTTTATCTAAAGTACAGCAAAACAGTACAATTTTGAAATATATTTCAAATAACTGTTTTCTATTTGAATATATTTTAAAATGTAATTTATAGGGATTTAAAAGCTAAATGTTTTGCATCATTAATCCAGTCACACTATCCTTCAGAAATCATTCTGATATTCTGATTTGCTGCTCAAAAAACATTAATAATAATAATAATTAAAACAAGTTTCTTGAACAGCAAATCAGCATATTAGCATATTAGAATGGTGACACTGAAGACTGGAGTAATGATGCTGAAAATTCAGCTTTGATCACAGCAATCATTTAAAAATATATATTTTTTTTCAAGTGGTACTGCCCTGAAAGTACTGCTTATTAAAACAGCTGTTAAAACCGTCTGACCTGGAAGTGAACCTTGTAGCTGATGGTGGGCGCATTTTCCTCTCGTAGGTGCTGCGATCGCTGCATTAAGAGTGCCAGTAACTGAGCACGCTCAACTGAACCCAGCAAGAGCATCGACTCTGAGAGACACAATGAAATCAGACAGAAAGATCAGGAACAGTTCAGGTAAATACGCACATCGCATTTACTTCATATTAAAATGAGCTCTTCTGCTGGCTTGCAGTAAAATTGCATTCCAGGTGTGAACTGTACATGTCTAGAGTTTTAATATCTAACATTTCAAACAGGCTTTCGTTTCAAGAAAGGATTTTTTTTTTTAAATAGCACATTTTTCATGATTTTAAAAGCCTGAGCATCAAACCATGTTCATTTATTTAGCACTTTTCACAATACACACAGTTTCAAAGCAGCTCTACAGGGATTTTTCAAAATGATCAAAACAGTAAAAATATTTTAGCTGATTTATGAAAGTAATTATAAAATATATGCATGTAAAAATATTAAAATAAATTACATTAAATAAATCAATAACAAATTAAAATAAATGTAATTATTTTAATTTTTAATTACAATCAAAAGAAAGTAAGAAAATACAAAATTCTTATAAAAATGTCATGTTGATTTGATATGTCCCTTCAGCAGAGCATGTCTCATGAATATTAATTAGGTTACATGTATAGACAGTCCCTAGCAATGTCCACATGATCTTATCTAATATTCATAAGTTAAGCCATTGTCACATGATAACACAACCAGCTCCAACACAACAGTCGGTAGGAAATTAGTGTGTATCGTGTGTGTGTGTGTTTGTACCTGCAGACTTCACCAATGGCAGCATTTTCAGATTTCCTGAGCGTAGAATGTTGAATATGTCTCGGTAGGTGGAGTTCAGTGTGATATAACAAACTTCTCTTTTCATAAAGTCCTCCACATGAATAATATACTTACTACAGAAAGAGAAAGGTAATTGTGAGAAAGAGGTAATTGTAAAAAACCTTGATGCACACCAAAAAAAATGACTTCTTGTTTCAGACTAGCGGAGAGAAAACATCCAAAATACACTTTAAGTGTTTATTTTATTGCACTTTATCTATTTGCATCTGTAGATTAAGTGATGTGACATGTGGCCAAGTATGGTGACCCATACTCGGAATTAGTGCTCTGCATTTATCCCATCCAAAGTGCACACACACAGCAGTGAACAAACACACCGTGAACACACACCCGGAGCAGTGGACAGCCATTTATGCTGCGGCACCCGGGGAGCAGTTGGGGGTTCGGTGCCTTGCTCAAGGGCACCTCAGTCGTGGTATTGAAGGTGGAAGAGAGCGCTGTACATTCACTCCCCCCACCTACAATCCCCGCCGGTACAAGACTCGAACCCACAACCTTTGGGTTACGAGTCAGACTCTCTAACCATTACGCCACAACTATACATATCTCAGTTTAAAGAGATTTTTCTCCACATCAGCAGTACTTGCATACACCAAAACTTAGAGTTTTATTCCTATCTATATTCTGAAGGTTTTTATAGAGGGGTTTGTTCATATATCAGTTACATGGATTTATAGAGCTTTTTATTCATAAAAACGTGGAGAAAATGTATTTTTCTGGCTGTTGACAGTATTTTCTGATTTATGGAGTGATAAAAAGAGAAATCCAAAATCCCCTCTATAAAAACATTTAACTCTAATATGACAACAAAATCAAACAAGAATTTTGAACCTGGATTAATCCAAAATTCAGATTTATTTCCTGGAAATAAGTGCAAATTAGTGCATATTTAATTATATAATGCCTCATTTGTGTATTTAAACATAACATTTCATAAAACTTGTAATACAAAAATGTTTGTGGTTCTTAATGTAAAAAATCAACTGGGGAAGTATGGTGATTTGTTTCTATTTGTTAATTTTTTTTTGCCCTATTCACCTGGGGTGTCTTGCCTCAAATTCAATTATCAAATAAAATTTAACTGCCTTTCAATGTTGTCACACTTTTTGTTAAGTACTTGTAATGTGCATGCTGCAATATTTGTTTTAATGAGTTAAACCTGAGAATGCTGGGTAAACTGCAATCAAATATACTAATGCATACTAGCTATTTTAGTATTATGTGGGTCAAAGGCGAAAAAGGGTTTAAGCATAAAAACAATAAGTGTAATACTGTTTTAAATTGTTGTTGTTTTTCCCAAAATAAATGAAAACATTTTCTGTTTAATTTAATTGCAATTTTGGAAAATAAATATCATACATTTTTCCCTGATTTACAGAAGAGACCCACTAAAATGTAATTCAGTGTAACAATCTTGTCAGGCATATTTACAACAAAAATCAATTTATGACATATTAAAAGACTAATTACTTTCATCCCAAATACTAATTAGTTGTAATTTTACATTTTTAAAATTTGCCACTATCCTAGGTTTTGCCCATTTGTCAGTAAGAATGTTTTACTCATTTAAAACACAATCAAATTTAATATGCTCCCTTATTCTTTTATATATTTTAATATGTACACGTCAGAATAAGCATGCTGTTTGAATTTTTACATAAATATTGTGTTACACTGAATGACAATGTAACATTATTTCAACCAAAATTTGACGTTCTATTCTCCAAAAACTTGAAACCTTAAAAGTAGACACTTTACTTACATTTAATGTGCTTTCTATGGACATAAAATCACTTTTGTAAATTTATTTTGATGCGGACATCTTAACGTCTTTGACCCATGCACACTTTAAAAACATGACATTCTGTGCTAACCAAAATGCTTACAAAACCCCTAAAAATAGGTTGAAATGAACTGCTAAGAAAAGTTTTGGATGATTGAAATGTGAAATAGAAAGAAAAGATGAAATGTATGGATGAAGAGACTCACTCGCGGTGGCCCCAGCTGAGCATAGGCAGGTAAGGCAGTTTTTTTATGCGGATAACTGTGTCGTAGATGGACAGCTGAAGACTCTGAGAGACCATGTTGGCGAGAATCACAGAGATCAGGATGGGCAGACCGTAACTGATCTGACCTGTCAACTCCATCATGATCACACCGGTTGAGATCGTGTGAGTGACTCCTGCCGTTAACGCTGCCGCTCCTACACACAAGAGAGTGTTACTACTTATTAAAAGCTAAGTCAATGCTTAATTTCGGGACAGTATTCAGACATAATGGATGTGTGCACGGATGTGCATGCTTAGTTTCTCACCTACGACAGCATACACTCCGGGCACTATATGGTATACCTGTCCATCCATGTTAAATCCATCGGGAAACAACGTGGCCAAACCTTCACCCACCAAACGGCCAAACGCAGCACCTGAAACACACACGTATGCATTCCCTTTAATTTGAGAGTCATCATATGAAAAGATACTGTTAAAAATTACTGATTTAAAGGTCCGTTCACACCAAGAGTCATGACTTAAACCGCAGATCAAATGTTTGGAATAACTTTTGAGTTACTGAGTTAAGACTGTATTCATTTGAACAAAAATACAGTAAAAACAGCAATACTGTGAAATATTATTACAATTTAAAATAACTATTTTCTATGTGAATATATGTTAAAATGTAATCACATGATAACATGATCCTTCAGAAATCTTTCTAATATGCTGATTTGCTGCTCAAGAAACATCTCTGAATATAGCTGCAAGCAGCAATATATATATTTTAAGTGCGTATCAGCACTTTAAATGCTCCAGCTCATTAAAGTTGAGTGATTTCTGATTGGCCATTCATTTTTTATTGTTCGTCAGCTGGAAAATATCACTCTGAATGTCATTCCAATAATATCCTTCTTCTGTGTCGTTATTGTAATAGTTGTGGTGTGGACTGCACTATATAGAGATTTTTTAGGATTTTTTAAAACTTATGGTTTTAATTATCATTATAGTTATAATCCTTGGTGTGAACGCACCTTAAAAAGGTGGAAATGCTCCAAAAAATTATAATAATTTTTAGAGAAAACACACAAACACATACCAATAACAAAAATGGGAACGAAGGAACCACATGGTATAGGAAGGGTTATGGAAATAGCAGACATCCAGAACTACTTAACAGACAAAAGTAATGTTCATTAAAACACACACACACACACACACACATACACACACAATTGTTTGGTGCATTAAAAAAACAAGTCACAAATATTTTGTTTATATGAAAAGTTCAAGAAAAAACAGTTAGGCATTACATGAGGTCTTTAAAGCAAACAGATTTCTGAATAAGGAAGGGTTTAGTTACTTTAGCTATAGTTTGAGGACAAACTATGTGTCTGTGTTTATTTACCTTCATGATGACGAAGATGGAGAGAATGATGAAGACGTTAGCCTGCGGATGTTTCCAGGCGGCTAAGTGATCGTCATGATCAAAGTCTGCTATGATGCCATGATTTGACCAGGTACGATTGTCAAAAAATGAAATCAAGGAATTCCTTTGTGTAAGCTATAAATGGTGAGGAAATTATGTCATAAACAGGAAATGGTTCTATATAAACCAAAAACTTCTTTAGACTTTCATTTAAAAGAATAATACAGCCAAAAATTAACATTATCTGAAAATGTGCTCACCCTCAGTTCACCCAAGATCAGGATGAGTTTGTTTCTTCATCAGATTTGTAGAAATGTAGCACTGCATCAGTGTCTCAGCAATGGATGCTCTGCAGTGAATGGGTGCCGTCAGAATGAGAGCTGATAAAAACATCACAATAATCCACAGCACTCCAGTCCATCAGTTAACATCTGGAGAAGACAAAAGCTGAGACACATCCAACATTAAGATGTTTTTAACTAAGATATGAGTCTGTAATCCATAATAACGCTTCCTCCAGTGAAAAAGTGCATCTGCTGTTGTCTCTCACATTAAAATCCAGCCACATATGTGTTTAGAGCTGTTTAAACGCTGCTTGATCTGTGCAGATTTCTCTCCTGATTCACACCAGAACACTGACTCACTGGAGGAAGAGTTATTATGGATTATGGACTCAATGTATTTTAGTTAAAAACGTCTTAAGGTTGGATGTGTCTCAGCTTTTGTCTTCTCCAGATGTTAACTGATGGACTGGAGTGCTGTGGATTATTGTGATGTTTTTATCAGCTCTCATTCTGACGGCACCCATTCACTGCAGAGCATCCATTGCTGAGACACTGATGCAGTGCTACATTTCTACAAATCTGAATGAAGAAACAAACTCATCCTGATTCTGGATTGCCTGAGGGTGAGCACATTTACAGCTAATTTTAATTTAAGGGTGAACAATTACTTTAGAAACACTTTGGATTTCACGTTTCATTTAACTGCTAATTGTGCATTTACTGTATTTAGATAAGGCATGTTATTGTAGTGTATGACTGCATATGCTGCTAATGGAGCATTCCTCATTTTCAGTCACTGATTAATTAGAGAGAACCAGAGTCAGTGTATGAGAGAGAATTGAAGTTCCATTCTGTATTTTAGACGAATGTGTGTTGTTAAGAATGATTAATGAACGTCGCCTGTTTCTCTCATTAAGATTATTAACTGTTATGGATTTAACAAATTGGGAAACCAACACGTTTTGTGTAGAGTGTGTGTCTGTGCGTGTGTGTGTGTGTGTG